ATAGAGAACAAAGAAACGAAGCAACTAGAACAAAGTAAGGTTATCTTAACGACTTTCTGGAAAGTAACAGAAAAAAATTAAAAATCTCTATATCACTAAAGGAGGAAGAAAACATATTGTTACGACAGTGGAAGTCAAGTGACGCTGCTGGTGCGTGCGTAATGAGTTTCTCGAATGATCGGGGAAGTCCGAGTGTGTTCGAGATGCCCTCTTCGTTAGTATATAAGCCTAGCAGAGAAAGCCAGCGGGTATGAATAAAGAGAGAGTGTGTGTTTTGCACTCGTCGAGAGCGAAATTATCGAGATTGTGAATCGCTGTGATTTATAGTGTATTATAAAAGTTGTTAAGTTTAAAGTGACGAGAAACGTACTGATTGTGGAACTTCTGTGTACTAAAAGTTTGTATCGAGGAGAATAAACTGGTTTAATCAAGAAAGGTCTTGTATCGCTGAAGATCCTCGGAAAGAATTTCTACCGGAAACAAACAAACAAGCAGATACGTAACAATATGATATACCCACATATAAGCTACAAGCTGAAATACCCGTCAACTGATGGGAATATTTCAACTTAATGAAAACAATATAATTTTAATAGCAATCATGTATTTCAAAATAATAACTTGAACATGAATTTTATCTAAAAAATTTAAAATTATAACAAAACTTCTTCATAAACAACTTTTGCAGTTTGCTTTCCATCTACCAACAAATAAAGATTTTGAGGTGATTCCACCCTTGAACACCCTACATCTTATTGACCAAGGTTGTTTGAGAAAATATCCAGCAACTTTCATACTTTGACCTTGAATCCCTTTATAATATTTAACATTGTCTAAAGCATCAACCTGCCAAGATTGTTTGAGATTAGCTCAATAAGCTGGGAGTAATTAGCCAACAGGTTTTACAAAATAGACATAGGGTTAAATTAAGTTTTGACCCCCTCACATAGCTCATAGCGTTTACATACAAATTTTGGTTGAGATTGGCCCAATAATGTCAGAGGAGTTAAGGTGAAAACAAACACACATTTCGTCTTTATATGTCCCCCGCTGGGACAGCAGTAAGTCTTTGGATTTACACTACTAAAATCACAGTTTTGATCTCCTTTGGTGGACACAATAAATAGCCCGATTGTGGCTTTGCTATAAAGTATAAGAACAACACACACACACACACACACGTCTTTATATATATATATATATATAA